TCTCCCTCCCACTCTATCTAAATAAAAAAATGGAAGGGAGTCCTCAGGTGAGGATAAAAAAAAAAACAACAACTTTAAAAGAAATGTCACCACAAAAGGGATAGAAAAACCTGTTTTCAATCTCGATCTATGTGATCTCATGAGAGGCACCATAGGCACAGATAGTATTACTGAAGATTGATGTCATATAGAAGGGCCCCTACCCTGGGGTTATGGGACAGCTACGGGGGAAGGGGGACTACAAGAGGTAGGAATCTATATATGCCCAGGGAGCGGTACAGTCACCACAGATTGCTTGAATGCAAATGAATAATTTTATCCATCTTGGGGTTGTGAAACTATATATACTACTAAGGGTTATCTGAGAAGCAGGGACCCTCATATAGATTTTAGAAGGTTAACCAAGCCCAAGGGTTCTCTATAGGAAAATCTGACCCCATTCAGATTAATCTCAGTAGTCCGCTAGACCTTTATTGGGCCACAGGAAGGTCACAGGGGCTGACTGCTCGTTATGTCTAAATTCGAGGCCACCTTATTATATAGGGCTAGGTCTCTCTGAGCCAATTTCCCAGACCCCAAATGCTGACAACTGTACATGCGACCAGCCTAAGTTAACTTTGGGGGATATCCAAGGGCAAGGGACTTGCATCCTCCCACCTAAGTATAACCTCCAGCAATACAAAACAGGCGAGGTTTAGATCTCCTTCTCCTCAAGCAGGGAGGACGCTGTGTGGCACTAGGCGAAACTTGCTGTTTCTATGCCAATAACTTGGGAATAATACAGGGACAGAGTTAATATCCTTAATATAAAAAAAAGGTCAATGATTTGACTTGTACATAAAACCAGTGGGGATGTAATAACTCCATTCTGACCCTCAGTTACTGCACGTACACACCCTGGCAGTTTCTTTTTTGTAAACTTAAGGGCCTTGAGAAACCCAAAGAAAGCTATAAAGATAAGGGGTTAATGAAGGCCTTGGGAAACTGAGGAACCATGAGAAAAAAGAGATTAATGGCTGCCCTGACCTCTATCAGCTGTTCTCATACCCCTTCTAACAGTTCCCCCGCTTGACGGTGCCAAAAACGGCATCAAGAATGTAGTTTTTTCTGTAGTGTCCATATAAGTGGGCAACAAAGAGGGCTTGGGGCTGTCGATTTGGGGAGAGTCCTCCTTCAGCCTGCCAGTGCGATGAAGCGCTCCTTTACAATTCAGCTGTGCGTCTCTGGTTATCTCGCTGACATGTTACAACATTTCCTAACTTATTATTATTTTTTTTAATCCTTACCCAAGGACATTTTTCCACTTTTTGTTCAGATAGAGTGGGAGGGGTAGAGAGAGAGAGAGAGAAACATCGGCGCAAAAGGGACACATCGAGTGGCTGCCACCCGCACAACCCAACCAGGGCCGGGGACAAACTGCACCAGAGGTACATGCCCTTAGCGGGAACTGAACCTGGGTCTCTCTGGACCATAGGCCGACACTCCAACCGCTGAGCCAAACTGGCCAGGGCCCTAACTTAATTTTTAACCCAAACTTGTGAGGTCATTGGTATTAACCACACTTAAAGTGAATAAAACCAAAGCTTGGAGAAGATAGTTTTTGTGGGTTTTTTTTTTTTGCCCCAAATTTATGCCTGCGAGAGATGACTTTGCAAGTGTGTGGTAAAACCTTGAAACCAAGAGGTTAAAAAAAAAGTTTCAATTTGTTTGTTATTTTCCCACTAATTATTTTATTTTTTATTATTTTAAAAATGAATTAATTTTTTAGAGAGAGAGGAAGGAGAGAGAAATAGAAACATTGATTGGCTGCCTCCTGCACACCCCCTACTGGGGATCGAGCCTGAATCCCGGGCATGTGCCCTGACTGAGAAATGAACAGGGACCTCTCAGTCCATGGGATGATGATCAATCCACTGAGCTACACCGACCAGGCCCACTGATTATTTTAATGCAGACATTGCATTAATGGTTTTAAAATCGAAGCGTTGAGATTTTCTGGCAACATTTATCAATGTTCACTTCCAGTTCAATTAAAACAATGAGCAAGAATAGAAACCATAATTGATTGTCATTGCTTCTCCTACCCAAAAGGAAAAGCAAAACAATTAAAAAGAAATAAAATGTCAACCTAAGAAAAATGCAAACCTGTAGGAAATTTTTGTAAGAGTTTATATGAGCCAAACTGGCAACATATACCAGGGAGCAACATCTCAAATGTTCCCAATAAAAACAATTCTGCAGCCTCTTTGATGCATCTGAATATTAAAAAGGGAATGTAAAGGAGGTTACAGGAAGGTGGGAGAAATCAAGGCTGGGATTTGCCTACAGGATAGTAAACAAGACCAGGTGCTCTCTTGAGGTTGGTTACGGCTTATTGCAAAGACATGTTGACCTAGATGCACAGAAACAACTTTCATCCTCAGAAAGTTCAGACAAGTCCTCAATTTTCCCTTTTCATCAACTGGGCGAAATGGTCAACCTATCCCCGCTAAGGTGGCAATTCTCCACTGTCTGCGGCGAAAGGTTCTGTGCCTGTGGGTGCAATGCCAGTGGTAAACACACCAACAATCTGGTGTATTGGGCTCACCAGGTGAGACATTTGGTTAACACGGGTCTTTGCTCCATGCTTGTTTTTACTGTTTCTCCACAAATGTCTCTTTCTATTGGATTTCCCTGGAGGGCTACCTTGGGAGAGGGGTAGACAATTGCTAGTCAGCCCGCTAGGCTAGAGCAATGCTATGAGACATCAGACATGTCTACTGCCTTTCATATATTCTCCTTTTTATTTTTTAAGTTGGTATAATTCACATATGAGAAAGTTCCCCATATACACATATACAATCCACTGGTTTTGTCATATTCACAGGAAGTGGAATGAAGGGTGCCAGAGGTTGGTGGGAAGTGGAGACCTTTATTTAAGGGGTACATATTTTCATATCGGCACGAAGAGAAGAGTTCTGGTGCTGGATGGTGGGGAAGGCTGCACACAGTGCGAGTGTACCTAATGCCACTGAACTGCACACCTACAACGGTTAAAAATGCAATTTATGTTATGTTTCGTTCACCACAATTTAAAAAGAAAACACGCCCTGGCCGGTTTGGCTCAGCGGTTAGAGCGTCGGCCTGCGGTCCGGAGAGACCTGGGTTCGGTTCCCGCTAAGGGCGCGTACCTTGGTTGCAGTTTGTCCCCGGCCCTGGTTGGGTCGTGTGGGTGGCAACCACTCGATGTGTCACTTTCACGTCGATGTTTCTCTCTCTCTCCCTCCCACTCTATCTGAACAAAATATCGAAAAATGTCCTCGGGTGAGGATAAAAAAAAAAATAAAAAAAAAAAAAATAAAAAGAAAACACAACTAAGAGAGAAATGCAACTGCAGAGTAAAAATATTTGCAAATCACATGTCTCCTAAATATAGACTATCCAGGATATGTACAGAACCCTCACAACTCAACAATAAAAGAACAAATAATCCAGTTTTAAAATGATTTGAATAGATTTCCCTATAGAGTGTATGCGCATATCCATAAGCACTTGAGAAGGCAATCGACATCATCATTCGTCAGGGAAATGCCAGTCAAATTCAAAATGAGATACTGCTCCTACCTATTAGTATGGGCACGATTTAAAAATGGACAATACATTGGATTAGAGAGGATGTGCACACATCAGAACTCTCAGATGTGCTGACGAGAAAGTAAAAGAGAGCAGTCACTGTGGAACATGGTCTGGGATTTCCTCCTTACCTAAGGCGATGCCATTCTTTGGAGCTGCACCTGCCGCACAGCCTCCCAAGAGGCTATTGCCGAAGGGCAGACTTTCCTGCATCACAGGTTCTCCGCCCTGTGGAGTCTGATCGCTCCGTGACCCCAGGGCAACTCTAAAACCGTGTATGAAAACACGTGCTCACATACCGGATTGGGTCGAACTGCATGGAGTATTAAAAAAATACACCTTTATTGACTTAGAATACAACAAACCTTTAATAACCTGAGAGACTCAGTTTCTAGTGTTTGAGAGAAAAGAGCCTCTATCACCTCAATGATTTTAAATAAAAGTGAGTTGATTTTTAAAAAGTGTAAGGGGTGGCCAGGGTTATTCAATGGGGAAAGGATGATCTATTCAACAAATGATGCTTGGAAAATAAAATATCCACGTGCAAAATTATAAAATCGGACTGTTACCTTAAACCAATGCAACAATTAACACAAAATAGATCAAAGACTTGAGCATAAAAACAAAAACTATAAAACCTCTTAAGGCACATTTTTCTATAAATGACCGCTTTCTGTGGATTTCGAGGAAGGCTGTGATGGAGACACTCCCGACCTGGGAAGACAGGAAAGGAGAGCTCCAAACGCCAGCCTTCCCCGGGCTCCCTGCCAGTCCGCCCCCTTTCCCTGCAGGGACCTGGGCCTCGACCATCGACCATCGTGTCGGTGCGGTGGGCGCCGTCCTTCCCCTCAGATTCCTCCCAGCAGCTGCGGCCCCCGGGAACAGGGAGCCCGTCTGCCCGCGGCTCTGCCTCCTTCCACCCCTCTCCTTCTACGTCGCAGGAAAAAACAGGACCCACTAAACTAGATTAAACTGTTCTTCATCCTCCTGAGATTTTAACCAAAACTCTGGGATAAAAAGAAAGGCATGCTTATGCTGAAATACCACTTAGGGGTCCTGTAAACTCCTTTTCCTGAACTAACCCCCAAGGGCATGAATTTGGGGTAATTGGTTCATGTGGATTCCAGTGCTTCCCTGGGACCCTCGTCAGAGCTGTCCGGATTCCTCCTGGCTAGTCACTCCCAGGTGTCACTAGACAGGGAGGATCTGCCCAGGGACAAGTTTGAAACTGCTGAGCTTGTCTCCCACCTGGATCTCCCGCACTCAGAGGCCCCGCCCACAGGCAAGCATAACCAATGAGAAGTGAGTAAGAGATGGAGGCGGGGCGGGGCAGGCTGCTCCTAGCCATAAATGGGTGGGCTTGGGGCCACAACCATGCATCAGAAACCCCTGGATCTGCAACTGCTGACTACACCTGCACAGCTGTATCCACCTCAGGTGAGACCCCACCAGGCCACCCCAGGAACCATCTGTCCACCAGTCTGGGGGGCCAGGAACCTAGGACTCCAAGAGGCATAGTCCCATGGCCTGGCTGGGCAGGACGCAGCAGCCTGACCACAGCCCAGGGCTGCTGGGCCCACTGCTGCCTGAGCTGTTTCAGCATCTTGTGGAAGAGGCAGGATGTGCGGTGGGCAGGGAACTGGGCTGGGCTCCCACTGTCCTGCCCACTATGCAAATGTCCCTTGTCCCTGGTCAGTGATCTGAGCTGAGAAGAGCCTGGCCCTGTCAGGGTGCAGGAAGTAGTGGCAATGGGGGGTGTTTCTGCTCCATCGTGCCAGGTGAACACTTCCTGGGTTGGGGGAGGGGTGTGAGAACGCCTGGCAGAGGCCAGTGTGGGGGCAGCTGAGCCCTGGCTGCTCCTGCCCCTCTGCCCCTGGGAGGCCCTTTCAGAAAGATTCCACTCCAAGAAGAGGAGGTGTGAAGGCATAGCTCACCCTGCCATACAAGAGTCAAGAGGAAAAGTGTCAAGTGGCCACCTAACACCTGGGATCTCTGTCCCTAACGGGGATCATGGGTCCTCATTAGTGGGGTTTTCCTGGGTCACCTTGGTACTCTTGCTAAGTACCTGGAACAACCTTTTTATTTATTCCCAGTTGTAGACTCAAGATCCTGACTCATGAGCTACCCTCACACCCTTCTCCAAACCTAAATGACCATTGCCCGTCGCTGCTTCCAACCAGAGTCCTTCCCTGGCTGCCTGTCACTTCCGGGACTGAACCAAATACCTCCCCTTGGACTGATGTTCCCACCCACGTCCTTATGCTTCCTCCACTGTCCTTGTATAGGTACTTGGGAGGGAGAATTCACTCTTTTTATCCCACCCACACTCTTCACAAGAAAGTTCGATGGTTTTTAGAAGGATTGGTCTAATCAGAGACTCATTTATTTTTCCTTCCTAGGTTTTTGGAACATGAGTCCTTCAATCTTGCTGACTCTCCTGTGCTTGGGAATAGCCTCCGCTGCTCCCACGACAGATCACAGTTCAGAGGCTCAACCAACTCAGAGGACGGCAGCCCCCGGGAACGTCCTGGACACGGTTGGTAACACGTGAAACTGTGCAGAGGGCCCTGCAGAGAGCGGTCCGTGCTGTGGGGGGTTTAGAGCAGACAGTTGCCTCTTGAGACGGGTTGTTCCCAAGGCCATGACTTCATGGCCCCCGCTACTGACCCAAGGGGCAGACCTCCCTTGTGTGTGGGAGAACAGCTGGAGAAGAGCTTCAGAAGTATAAAGCCTCCCTGCTGGTGGTTTCTCTTCTTCTCTGGCTGCAAATACACTTAGTGAAGGTGAGGTGGATTAAATACAAATAAAAATGGCAGGGTATATGTTTGCCTCTAGGTTGAAGATGTGATCAATAATGTCGGGGCAGAGAATAGCCCCATCGTGCTTGAAAAGGACAATCAGGAACCAATTGAAGAACAAAAGGACTTCAGGGCTCCCTGTGGTGACATAAAACTGCGGCTTAAAACATCCAGAGGACTATTTAACGCGGTTGGTAACCCCTGAAACTGTCCGGAGGGACCCTGAGGAGCAGTGTCCATGCAGTTGGGGGTTAGAGCAGAGAGTAGCTTCCAGAGATCGGCTCTTCCCATGAGGTCACTTCATGGCACCTGTTACTGACACAATAGGACACACGTCCCTAAGGAGTGGGTGCTGGTGATCAGTGGTTCCCTTCCTCTCTGTCTGCAAATCCTCTTGGTGAAGCTGAGTTGGTGTTACATAAAAATAAAGATCACAGACTATATGTTTCTCTTTAGATTAAGCGTATAACCCGGAAAGCAAAGTTGGGGAAAACTGTCAAAGGGTTTGGAAAGCACATTCTTGGAAAAATCACAAGACCAGACAACATACTGGACATAGCCTCAATAATCGGAAATGAAATCTTGGGAGGAAGCAACGCACAGCCCTCGGAACCAGAAAACAGCGAGTTCAGTAACATGGTGAGTGTGGCCTGAATGCTTAATATTTATGTTCTCTCCTTACTTTTCCAAAGTAATTATATTTCATTACAATATCCTATTTCCTTTTCTTTGAAAACCACCGTAAAATTTCAGGCAGCAGATGTATGGATCGCAGAACCAGGAACACAAACAGGAAAAAGTATGGGTACGGAGATCCCCTGGTCTGTGGATTCGGAAGAGGAAGGCACTGGACTCCCATGATGAGGAGTCAGCTCATTGGACCTGCTGCCTATGAACTGACAGCAGGACAGCCCTGTTCACACCCCGAGTCCAGATCTGAGATAAGGACCCAACACTAGGACTCCCACCCCACGTTCCCGCTCTGATTTTTCAGAAGCCACTTGTAAAATAACCATTTAAAGTTGAGCCCTAGAAAAGTTAATGTGCATCACCAACCTCCTTAGAAACAATAGGTACTTACTCCCCTGCTCCCCATATCCTGTCCTCTTGTGACCTGGGATGGAGGGCCGCCCCTCTTAGCAGGGTGTGCTCCTCCCCCTCCCCTTCCCCAATCCTGCATCTGTGAGTAATAAATCTTGTGGCTCTGCTTTCTCTGTGTGAGTGAATTCAAACTGCGCCTTCAGTGAAGACAACCCCGGGGTTTTCACATCTACAAAGTGGGAGCTGGGTGCAGAGGGAGCTGCAGGGGACCCAGGTGTGCGGCCTGTGGCTCCTCCTCCAGCAGGTCATCACCTGCATGTCCCTGATTTCATCGGTCAGCTCTGGGCCCCGCACACTCCTGTGAAGAGCAGGTGTGAGCACATAGCAGCTCTCTCTCCGAGAGCGAAGCCAGAATGAACCTGGCACGACGCAGCCATAGAAATGGGGAACCCTACCATTTGCGACAGCAAGGATGGACCCTACAGGCATATGCTCAATGAAATAAGTCAGCAGAGCAAGACAAGTACTGTGGGATCTGTGTGTGGAATCCAACAAACAAACCACGGAACTCAGAGCATCAGAAATGAGATGTGTGGTTACCAAGGAGCAGGTGGGGACAGGGAGTGGGGGAAGGTGGTCAGAGGTAGGACTTCCAGGTGTCAGACAGTCAGGCTGTGGGACGTAATGACAGCACAGTGACTGTAACTGCCACTCTGTACAGTGCATGAGAAAGTCGTTCATAAATCCTAAGAGACCTCCTCACAGGAGAAAACATTTTCCCTTTATTCTCTTCTTGCTTTCTTTTGGTATGTACATGTGAAGAGAGATGGCGGCTGAATCTCACGTGGTCATCATCCCACAATACATGGTCATCAAACCATCAGGCTCAACAGCTTTAACTCCTGTAGTCATGTGCGTGTGTTACTACTTCTCAATAAATCCGGAATAAAAGGTTACTATTTTAAAAAAAATGAAATTGTTGAATGATATCCAGTTTGTGGTTGTAGACTGAGAGCTTTTTCATTAGTTTTAATGGTCAGTGTGGGGTGGTTGGGCTGGCAGCTTACCTGGGGCCCCGGAAGGACAGATGTTGCGGAAACCTGGCAAGCTTGCTGGGCTGCGTGAGCAGAACCTGGCGGACAGCCTTGGTCTCTGGGCCATCTGGGCTGCGGTGGTGGTAGGAATGACGCCTTCCAGGGTGCTAAGGACGACGGAGGCCTGCACTCTCAGGAATTCTATCCACATCATGCAAAGGCACACGTGCTTGCTACCTTGTTGCTATTGAAATTCAACACTTTAGGGAAAAATCCATTTCTGCAACCTCTCAGACCCGTCATTAAAATATATTAGCCTTGCGCAGTTCTCTGTTAACATGGTTAAGCCAGTTTTTGTATGTTACATGGAGAAATACTTACCATTCTCTATATAGTACAAATTTCTCCAGAGAGAATGCTTTCTTATGAGCATATAGATGTAGAATGTCTCATTGAGTAGACGCACCAGCTTGTTTTTTCTAAATTTCAAAACAACCAACAGCATTTTGCCGTCTGAGATGCTTTATAACAAACTTGACTTGAACACTGTTAAGCTGCAATCTGTCTTGACCTCCTGTTTAGTGGTAGTAATCAAGGTCTTCTCCTTTAACTGTGAAAGAATGGAGTCTGCAGATCCAGGCCTGAGAATTCCACTGCAAATGTCCCTGGCTTTGTAAACATTCGTAGGGGGCGAGGTCCCTTAGGAAGGCAGCGGCCACGTGGGGCCCATCTCTGTTGCTATGGATGCAGGCCAGGATAGCTTCAGTTCCACAAAAAAGGGAAGCATTTGTCTTATATAAATTTAGGTAGAAAAACTGGGGAAAAAATCCATGACATACAGCAAGATTGACTCTTTGGTATGTAGAATTCAATGTAGAGTTCCTGGGTGTGTGGATTTAACTAGTTGTTTATTCTGTACCTGTCATACTGTGCCTGATGTTTTTATTTGATATGACTAGATCCATATCTCCATGATGTTAAGTGCTTCATAAATATATTTAAATAGCTCTATAATTTGATTGGTATAGATACTTTACTTTTTTTCTAATTGTTAGAGCTTTCAAATTTTCTAAATAATTTAACTCTGTAATTAAACTGGAAAGACCCCCTGGATCAAATAATTTTGTGTTCTTTGCTGTTTCCTTAAATAAGTAGAATGACAATGTTTCAATGAGTGGCATTCTATACCTCTTGCTAACAGATGTTTACAAAAGAGATGTATTTCTGATTTATTAGATAAGGGCTTAAATCCTTAACCCAAGAAAAAAGACTTTGTTTTAAATCTTATCTGGATTTATGTTGTCTGGCTGAATTTTGAGATGCCTCCTTTGTGGTTGATAGGTTGACAGGTTACTGTCACCTGTCACCAGGAGGTCCTCACCCCAGCATTGACTTTTACTTTCCCAGCCATTTATTATCCAAAATGCAGCAGTTAACATCTGGATCATGGCATTCTGATCTGATAGCAATCAATATTGGATTGTCAAGACCAGGTATCAAATACCAAAACTACTTTCATTGGAAATTAAAATTTGAATTCTTTCTGTAATCAGTACTTGGATACAGGTCCTCAAATTCTTGAGCATATTTCTGAAATCCCAAAGTCTTTATCCCTCTTAGGGTGACACAGACATATGGATATTTGATTATAACATTAAGATACTGTTTCAAGCTTACTAGGGTATTGGTATGTTGCATTCCTAAATTTGAAATGTTTCTTAAGGGCTCCTAGGCAAGTCATTTGAACTCTCTGTGCTTCCTCATCCAACAGAAAAATGGCACTAATTACCTCTTCCTTATCTACCTCATGTGATCTCTCTCTGGGTCCTCTTTTCTTGCTTCTAAAATAAAAATGATAAAAGGATGGAGTTGGACTAGATGGCGCTCAACCTTTCAGGGTTAAAACATATAGGATTGTTTGTTTGCTTAAACCCACAAGGAGGCTTTTTGCCTTTAGTGACCAGTCACCATCCCCAGTCAGAGCCCAGGAGGCTCCTGCGAGAGATGTCCCCTCAGGGCCAGTCTTGCTCTCAGAGTGTGAGCGATGGAGACACGTGCTGGAGGAGGCTCACTTCTCATCATTCGCTGATGCAAATTGAAATAGGATAGCTTTCACCTGGCCAGTGTGGCTCAGTGGTTGAGCATCGACCCATGCACCAAGAGGTCGCTGGTTCAATTCCCGGTCAGGGCACATGCCCAGGTTGTGGGCCTGATCCCCAGTGGGGGGCATGCAGGAGGCAGCCGATCAATGTTCTCTCATCGATGTTTCCATCTCTCTCCCTCTCTTTTCCTTTCTCTGAAATCGATAAAGACAAATACGATTGTCAAAGACTGGAACAAGCACTGTGGAATGGCCGGTGCGGCCGTCCTACTGTGTGAGACGGTGGTGCCAAGGAGAGACGTGACTAAGAACAGAAGAGGAATTTTATCCTCACACCGACCAGACCTTGTTGTGCGGGATAGAACACTTGAAACATTGCAGATCCAAGCTGTGGTTTGGATTCTGTGACATTTCACACTGGTCAGCGTTGCTGCTTCTTTCATCGCTGCTGTCAACAGCTTTGCATGATTGACCTGCCTAACCCCTTTGCATTTTCATGTATTAAAAAGATGGATCAAGTTTGAACTTTAATAATACAACTTAATATTCAAAGTAGAGGTGGGGCTTCTTTGTGCTTTTAATACGTTAACTTTCTGTAGAGTCAAGAATGTATCTGGGCTCTAAAGACATAGCAGAAGGTGCCAGGGGTCCTTGAAGAGAAGGCGGGGCCTCTGGCTCTTCTACTCATGAATATGCAGATCTCATGTCAGTTGTCCATTGGCTGTGTCTGAACCAACTCTTGAATGGAGCAAAATTTGACACGTGATTTATAAGGACAAAGGTAAATTATTTTAATAAAGAAAATATTTATATTTTTAAAAAGTGGTCACACATACATAGGATTTCCAGACTACAGAGGGACCGTAGAGGTCATCATCCTTTGACACAATATGGTCGATACCCACCAAGTTAAAGGTTAAGAGTCACTCAGCCAGTTCCTGGTGCACGGTGCCCAGTTATTAGTGAAGACCACACGGCGAATTTACAGTCAAGAAAG